AGGTGACAGATGATAGATACTACAGACCCAGGATCCATAAAAGTCAAATGGCTATTTGCTTCGATTGCTGGAAATTGGTAAAGATCACTGATGTAAAACCAAAAAAAACATATTTCGGTGGATAGCGCAGATATGGATATGAGATTAAATCCGAGGATTTAATGAAATACCATTGGGATAATGAATGTTCCAAAGCTAAAACTGAGAATGGATATGCTGGACTTATTCAAAGAGTTTATAGAAATTATAGGAAGAGGCCTATTTCATTGGCAAAACAGATTTGGGAAGCGGTTAGAAATGATAATACTCCTAAGAAAAAGAAGTTCCTTTACATGCCTGGTAGAGAAATTTGTTGTACTGTAAATATGAATATATGGTATTCTATTGATGGAGGATATAGACCTTATCATGTTTCGCAAAATCAACTTTATAATTATATAAGTTATTCAAAGCATAAGAGACGCCAATTATCTGATAGATTGGCCATAGCAAGAAATAAAATACAATGCAACTATATCATGCCTAGTGGGTCTATTAAACCCAAAAATATTGTGCCAATTAAGTCTATAAAAACCAAGAGCTTTACATCTAATTTGATTAATAAGCCATATTCATTGACTCCTCCTCCATTACCACCAAAGCCTTTTGCATTAATTCAGCATAGTGCAAGTGTGCTTAGCTTTATTGATGTTGATGAGTACTGGGCTTCTGTGCAAAAAAAAAATGTAAGAAAAGAGATAGACTTAATATCTTTTGACTGAATAATTATTAATATTATCTATCTCAACTATATTTAGCCTTTATTTTTTTTGCGAAATGGATAGCTATATAATCTGCCTAGTAAAATTGTGAAATGTACTACCTGCAGGATAAAAAACCTGATTTGCCTATTCTGGGTTAGATCTTCTAATCTATTTTAATAAAGTATTTTTCGAGAAGTTAGGAAGATCAATGAAGCGATCTTGGGGATTCTTGATTGCGAAACAATATAACTATCGGTTTGAGAATTTTTATGCGACAGTTATCCAACAAGCTTATAGGAATTACAAGAAGAGACCCGAATCTTTGGCAAAACGGGTTTGGAAGGCGGTGAGGAATGATGATACTCCTGACAATAAGAAGTTTTTTGATATTGTTCCTCGTGGTAAAACATATCATTTCATTAATAGAAAACTAATAGAATCTAATTATGTGAGTGACCAATTTTATGTAGAAAATAGGCATAACATTTATTTTGCTACTACTTGGGCAGAAGCGAAGAGAAATCAGTTATATAGACGATTATGTACTGTAGCATACATAGCTACTTTTAGAGTATTATATCAGCAAGGCTATATAGTTGTTAGAAGTACAGGCTGGTCTGACATGTTAAAATGGTTACAGAATCCCAAATATTATCATATTAATAAAAAATATAACTTTGAAAACATCATCAGAATTTCAGATTGCGAGAAATATAGAGGTAAATCGACAGAAATACAAAGAATATGCTGATTCCTACTGTTAGAATTCTTATATTATATTCACAGAAAGGATGTTACTGTGAATTTTTCAGATTTGAATGATAATTGTGAGTTTGTACACCGAATTTTTCAGATCAGTCCTTGACCTAAATCCTGAATATTGTCTTAATAAAATAATATATTGTCCAGTTACAATGCATGTTGGCGTGTGTGATATAAATAAAATGTGTTTCTGATCCTCGTTAAAGTATATATGATGTAATATATAATAGTCCACAAATCATCTGTGAAACTATACTTGTGCGACAAAATAATTTCACACATAAACTGATCCTCAAAATATTTAGAATTTTTTCCCTATCTATCTGAATAGCATTTATTTATGAATTTATTTCTTCCAGAACATTGCGTTGCTACAGGCTATTCCTACTAGATTCTGACCAAAGTATATTTATATAATATTACTAGGCCTTTATTACTGAGCAGTCGAGTAAGTGAAATAAAAAAAGTATGTATATGCATATTCCCTAACGTCTTTACAATGTTGAGATCTACAATGCACATTCTGCATGTCTTACTTTTAAACATAAAATTTTAGCGTAAAATGCCTCGCATAATTCTCCTATCTCTTTTTTTCAACATAAATGTGAGGTTAGAGAGGACGTAATTGGGAAATACAAGACATTTAAAAAGGCAGTATGGCGAAAAGGTATTGGAATTTACCATACATTTTTTTTTACTTTGTCTAGCAAGCTTTACACTAATATTAACTTTTTATTCTATCAAAACATGAAAGAGTTTCTTTTAACAAGAAAACCCCTCGATATTGTCAGAATTTCTACGGCATTGTTTGTACAAGTAGAACAAGATGAATGGACAGGCGTTCTTGAAAAGGAGGTGGAGAATTTTGAGAATGTTTTGAAAAGAGTCTTAGAACGAATCCTCTCAGAAAATGTTGAAAGAAAAAAGAAACTTCAAAACATTTGGTACTGGGAAAAAATTAGCTAAACAGGTAAGGCGATAACTATTTTCATGATGAATATATGGGGCCTTTGCAGTAGAAACACCAGAAACTACCCCGAAAATGAAAATTGAGTTTTAGCTAAATTTAAATAGATTTTGATATAGGCTACATTTTTTAATTATAAATGGAAATTGATTTGCATAATAAAAAATTAAGATATTGTAGATTTAAATTCATGCAAGGTAATATTACACTAAAATGATCGGCATCTAAAAATAGATACAATCTAAAAAAGGCAGGATCTGCGATTTTGTAATAGAAACGAGGGTAACTTTAATTTTGTTATACAGATAAATTTCGGCCTGGACTTTTTTGCAATTTTTTAATTTTGACCAAATGCTGGCTTACTAATTGAAAGTAAAATTTATTGATTTCGGCCAAAATCAAGTTAATTAATAAATAATTAACATTTTTTCGCGAAATGAAGACGACTTATTCGTAACATACATCCCTCCATCCCTCCAAAGACGTTTTTCTGTAAAACGAACATCCAAAGTCGTATTTTCTGCGAAACGAACGTCCGGTGATGTTTTTTTCACGAAACGAACATCTGGTGACGTTTTTTCCACAAAATGAACGTCTGGTGACATTTTTTTCATGAATTGAACGTCTGGTGACGTTTTTTTCGCGAAATGAACGTCTGGAGATATTTTTTTCGCAAAATGAACGTCTGGTAATATTTTTTTCGTGAATTAAACGTCCGGTGACATTTATTTCGCGGAAAAAACATCACCGAACGTTCAATTCGCAAAAAAAGTTACCAGACGTTCATTTTGCGGAAAAAACATCTCCGGACATTCAATTTGCGAAAAAAATGTCACCAAACATTCATTTCGCGAAAAAAACGTTTCCGGACGTTCAATTCGCAGAAAAAACGTCACCAGACATTCAATTCGCAAAAAAAATGTCACCAGACGTTCAATTCGCGGAAAAAACGTCACCAGACGTTTATTTCGCAGAAGAAAACATCACCAGACGTTTATTTTGCGGAAGAAAATGTCACCAGACGTTTATTTCGCAGAAGAAAACGTCACTGGACGTTCATTTTGCGAAAAAAAATATCACCAAACATTCATTTCGCAGAAAAAACATCACCGGACGTTCATTTCACAAAAAAAAACGTCACCAGACGTTCATTTTGCGAAAAAAACGTCTCCGGACACTCATTTCAGAAAACGTTAGTTCTAAATAAAATTATCTAAATAAAAATTAAAATGATTGTTAATTTTTTTATTTTAACGGCTTTTTATTATTGCATTTTAAAATAAATAAACAATATAATGCAGATCGGACTATAATGGGTTAATTCTATTTTTAATTCTGCAGACTGTCGATTTGTTTACATGTGATCAAAATTTCAAACTCAATTATCTCAAAATCATGTTTTTCGGAGTTTTCAGTTTTTCTACTACAAAGGCCCCATATGGATATGATGACATGCTTTTTTTTAGGTTTTCTAAAGGCATAGTGAGATCTCATTGTATATATGTTAGTGAATGTACTAATGTTCGTTGTGATATCATCACTTCCCGCATGGCAGTAGCTAGTTATATATGTTCACAGAATATTGATCATTGAGCTCATTGCCGGCATTTTTTGATAGTTTATGAAAATGGAAACCTAATCTGATCCCACGGTTTATTATTCACTTTAATTAACAAAATATATTAAGTCTAAACTAAGCTAATTATATTTAGGTTGCAAGTGCCTTTGAAGATTTATGTTCTCTAACAGAAATGAAAGCTCTGGTAATTGATGCTGAGATGTGACCTGACGATGCGAATGCAAATTTATGGTGTTTGAAACGTGACGTTAGACAACTTATGAATGAGAACACCAGTTATGAGAAAATTATGTGAAAGAGGATAGAAATAGAACTTAATAATATAAATGTAGAAAATCTTGGATTTGATCATCCAATATGTTCAGGAGTTCTCGATATCAAATCAGAACCTTTCATAAACATTCCTGAATCATTTGCGATATTTTTAAAAAACCATTTCAAAAATATAAGTTAAAATAGAATCAAGATATTTTAGACACTTGTAAAGAATTTATCCAGAACAAAGAATCAAAGATTAATGAAGATGAGGATTTGCGTGATGTTAAATTTGAAAAATGATTAGATCACTCTGAAAGGCTTTAAGATATGACAAGACGAATTTTAGAATCTTTGTAAGTTTATTATTTTTTGTCTATATTCTGTCTTCTTCTATGTGTTTTCTTACTACTCATGAATAATATAAATGGGTGGGATCTTTTCTAGGTTTAAAGTTTAGAAATCACTTAAGTATGAAGCTTATACAAAGAAAGGGAAATCGGTTAATGAAGGGTCATACGTCTGTGAAGTACTCGCGCCATTAATAAATATAGTAATGAGTGATTTGCCTAGAAATCCTGTTGTATAGGATATATGGTAAGCGTCTAGTATCACCTATAAAATATTTCTCCCCTGTCATGCTTTTTTCTTATTTAATGATTTTCTTAAATAGGAGTGAAGAGGAAGTTCGACTAGTACTATACGAAAAGGATCTCACAAGTTTGCACGAAAGCCTGATTATATGATCATAGTGCAATTAGGAAAAAATGTAGAACTCGAAATAGTATATCTTGAAACTGGTAGGCCAAATTCCAGCCAAGATAAACGCCAGCGAGATTATAAAAAATTAATTCAATTATCCAAGGATTCTATTGATACTACTAGGATTTTATCGAAGCTCAAAAGAATATTCAATCAATTTTTCAAGAGGTAGAATTTGACTATATTTGCTATTAACATCGCAGGTAATGCATTATATTTTTACTTTTCTTCGGCCCTACAATACCTCCTGCTCTTGTATTACAAACCAATAGTGAATAATCATATTGCTTTTATTTTAGGCGATGTTATAGAACTTTATGCTATGCAGAAAAAATCAGGTATTTATAAGTACTGTTTAATAGAGGAAGCAACAATTCCATTGCATATGACTTTCCCAAGTGCTGTATATCTACTTATACATGCGCTGATGACTCTGAGAATGGCCGTCGCATGTACAATTCATAAAATATTATATAGTTCTGACTCTGGGGATAGTGAACATAGTTCTAGTGAAATAGTAGTAACAGTTTCGACCCCCAAAAATTAATAGAATAGAAATTTCATGTATTTTTATAAGTTATATTATTAATAAAGTGAGTGTATCAGATTATAAAATTTTTCTTGGCAAAATGATCAGCATTATAAATTGTAACGCGCACGTGATTTTTTTTATTTTTGAATATTAACATACTAATATTATATTACACAAGCATGCAATCTGAAATAGATGGTCCTAGTGAAAGTGATTCATTGAAACAATGTATTAGTGAGCTTAAGGCTGAGAACAATAAAATTATGGCCGAAAATATTGAGCTTAAGGCCAGAGTTGCGAAATTGAAAGACAAGCTATCGCAAAATGAATTATAAAAAACTTGTTATTTGTATCATGAAAGACCTGATCATGTATTAATTTGGTGAAATTTCAGCTGGGCATTCTGCTAAAATGATTTTTTTTTGTTGACCAATAATCAGGTGTCATGTGCATATTTGATCAGAGCTTTCTAGTAGATCTCTCACGATATTGACGCGTAAATTTCTCAGAATTCTTTGAATTCTCTGAATGTATAGAATTCTTAAATTCTCAAAATTTCTGAATCTATAAAATTCTCAAAATTTTTTTATTATCTATAAGATATGGCTGGTATACTAACACCATCTTTTCACGTATATTACTCAAAGCAACTTAACCAGCTTTCTCGTTTCATCAAAATAGATATATGGCATCATCTTACATCATGAAAACATCTATTATCTCTAGAACAGGCAAGTAGTATCCATCCCGAAGTGGAAGATTTGTTAAATAAGGCAGTTGGAAATTATATTAAGCAAAAAAAGCGTCAGAAGATGAAGTCTATTACTAGCGACTGTAAAACTTCGTTAAGACGAGAAAATGAGAAGTTATGTATATCAAAACAGGCATTGGAAAAAAAGATTGAAGAGCTTCTCAATTTGCAAGAGCAGTATACATCTTGTGAGATAGCTATGATCAGGTCTTTGGAGGAGAGTGGCGGAAAAGTCACCTAATTATCAGATTTAGTAGCTTTCTTCAAAAGTATAATTCCTGATACGAAAAAAACTATTAAAGAATAGATGCCGGAATCTAGAGAATATTAGCCCTGTTTAGTTCTAGATCAGATTGTTCGGATCAGAAATTTTGCCTCTAAATTATTGGCTAAAAAAACGATCAGTGATCAATCAATCTGATCTATAAAAATTAGTGTTCACCTCTGACGATTTTATTACAACAGACACGTCTTCGCGTCTAACTAAAATTTTTGCTAAAGTTATAACCTTTACAATGTCTAACTTAAGAGTCCCTTTTCGTTCAATTGCTTCTAAACCACTTTCACAAGAAATTCCACAAGGTCCTTTACAAGACTTTCCACAAAAATTTCTACAAGAACTTCCACAAGAACTTTCACAAAAACTTTCACAAGCTCTACAAGCACCATAAGGACTTTCACAAAAACTTTTACAAGAATCTTTACAAAGATATTCGCAAGAACTATTTGTACAAAATCCCAATATCATTGCTGTTGCTTTACCACAGACCTTACCTGAAATTCAGGAAGTAACACCTTTGCCAACTGCAAGAGCTCTTAAAAAGAAGACTGACCGAAAACCAGGGCTTGCTGAAGAAGAAACAGGTTGGGATGATAAAAGTACAGGATTGTTGTTAGGTTTTCTTGAGGATAATTTCGCTGCTTATAAAAAAAACAAGTCCAACTTTGCTAAATCAGCTGCTAATAAGATTTTTCCAGGAAAGTCATGAGAGCAAATAAAGAATAAATTATCTCGCTTTATAACTAAGTATAATGAAATCAAGGAAAAGGAAAACTAAACAGGAAGAGAAGCACAAGCAAAATGGAAATGGTTTGATAGATTGGATGCCTTATTTAGAATATGCAAAAATTATAATCCAGGGTTTTTGGTAGATGGTTTTTCTGATACTACTCAATTGTTTAACAGTTGTAAAGAGAAAGAAATTAATGAAGAAGCTTCAGTGATAGAAATAAAAGATAAGGCTACCAAAAAATGAAAATCTTCTTCACAGGATTCATTGGCTGAAGCTATTATTTCTATGGGTAATACACGTCAAGTGATTTAGGAAAAAAAGCTTACTCTTGAAAATGAACAGTTTGGTAAGTAGCAAGAATTTGAAAGAAAAGTTTGTGAAGCTGAATCAGCTTTTAAAAGAGAAGAATTAAAGGTTGAACAAATTAAAGCTGAAACATTGCAAAAAAAATGGAGTTTGAAATAGAGCAGTCACACATAGAGTATCAGCTTAAAATGAAAGAGTTAGACTTAAGAATGA